CCCTTCTTACTAATTCAAAATGTTATCACAGTTTTAGTACACACATTACTTAGCTATTAGAGCAAATGCAAAGTCACAGGACCAAACTTGTACTTGAAAGGAGGAAAAATAGGGCACAAAATGTAGTAAGAACAACAAATCACTGACACATTCGCTATATTCATACTAAACCAAGTCCCACTAACAGGAAACACTAAGCAGGTGTTTCACATTCTGCCTATTCTGCTTTGACATTTGGCTTTCTAAAACAATGTGACTCTGAAGTTGACAGCTGCTTTCTGCAATCCTTTACAGCCCATGCACTCCTAACCACTCTGTGCAGCAAAAATACCTGTTTTTTAGGAAAATATACTGCACCTATATAAAATGAGGAGCTGGGGGAGACGATATTACCAAATTTTGAGCAGCATCCATCACAGTTAGACCAGTAAGTGTAAGCCATACTAAGGAGAGGAAGAAAGACAAAATCTCTTTGCGAGACCAAGGGTAATTACGTGCTGTATTTGCATTAACAAAAAGCCACTGAACTTTAAGCACTGTGTTGCGATAAACAGCATCTGCCAAAAGTTCCGCACTGGTTTGCCTACATGGGCCACTGAACTGCTTAGCATTGTGCTGTCTTGCAGCAGTTACATGGTGGTGTGTTACGGACATGGAGGTTGTGTCATGGTGTGTTACACTGCCCAGCAAGGCTATGGATGCTCCCTCCTTGCAGGCATTCAAGGCCAGGCTGGATGGGGTTGTGAGCAACCTGCTCTAGAGGGAGGTATCCCTGCCTATAGCAGGGGGTTGAAACAAGGTGATTTTAAAGGTCCCTTCCAACACAAACCATTCTGTGATTTATCACAAGCAAAAGTTTGCTCTGCTTCTCTCTTTTTTCCCAGATTGCCATGCTGGGGGAAGTACCTCATTAGATGGACGCAGGTGGAGAAACAGCTTTCAGACAGAAAAGCAGCCAACTTCATGCGTTTGGGAACTGCTGAAAACCTTGGTGAGGTCACAGGCAGCCCCAAGAGCAGCTGAGGGCATCAGGGAGACTTGGGATCAGTGTAGGCTCTCACCTCCTCTTCCAGCTCTATGATGGCTGCGATGATTAAAAAAGGAGACTCTTGCTGTGGAAAATACAACTGTGCTTCTGTTTGGCCACAGAAGTGCTGAAACAGCTGAGTGTACACAGAGGGGGTTTTAAAGCATTCTATATTATTCATCTGAAGAGCTGTTCCCATGATTTATACAGTTTTTGAAGTCTCTTTTTTTATTAACAGCATCTTCAGCACTTTCAAACAATCATTTTGGAGTTTAACTGCATACATTTCTGTCTTCACAGACAACAAAATTATTATCCAGGCTTTCAACTGCCTGGGAGCTTGGGAGAAGTTTTCACGGTCGCTGATAACATCATTGGAGAAAGAAAGCCCTAAGATGCATTTCATCGGCTGAAGCCTCAAGATGCAAACTCCTTCCAAGGTACCATAGGATCATTTAGGTTAGAAAAGAACTCTAAGATCATCAAGTCCAACCACTAACCTAGTACTGCCAAGCCTACCATTAAGCCATATCCCTAAGCACCACCTCCACACATCTTTCAAAAAGCTCCAGGGATGGTGACTTAGCTACTTACCTGGGCAGCCTGTTTCAATGCTTCACAACACTCTTTGTGAATAAATTTTTCCTAATATCCAACCTAAACCTCTACCATGCAACTTAAGACCATTTCCTCACGTCTTCTCACTTGTTTCTTGGAGAAGCCTCACCTCAACCTCCTTGCAGGCAGCTGCAGTGAGCAATAACGTCTCCCCTCAACCTCCAAACCAAACAATCCCAGTTCCCTCAGCTGCTCCCTATAAGATTTGTGCTCCAGACCCTTCACAGCTTCGTTGCCCTTCTCTAAACACACTCCAGAGCCTCCGTGTCTTTCCTGTAGCAAGGAACTCAACACAGTACTCAAGGACCCTAAGTACTAGCACCACGCACAGCTAGTTGTTCTGGTCACTCTTCCTTACACAGAGCTTTCCTGTGGCACTTTCAACACAAAAATCAGAAATAGGAGGAGCAGAGCACAACCTGCCGTGTTTTGACAACTCCTGGCACCCTGAGGACTTTGGCCTGGCACACGGCTGCCGGGCCGCATGACGGGGTGTCCACACCTTGCCCATGGGGTTGGGAGCAGCCGCTGCATTTTGCAGAGCAACAGGCTGCATGTCACACATTGCAGAGAAGTACCCAAAACATCAGCATTTTGTATGTTTGCAGTAGTGTGTTGCCAGCTGGAAGCAGGAGCTGCAGAGCTGATAAGCAAAGTCCACAAACAGCGACAGAGCTGCAGTTCTGCAGTAGAGTTGGGATCCTGGTGGCAAGCCAGGCTGGTTCAAGATCTTACCAAATGCAAAGCCGAACAAGGGACTGGAGGAGCAAGGAAGAATGGAGCAAGTTTTAGGGCAATCCTAGATGTATGTACAAACTGGGAGAAGGACTCATATGTGAAGTTATAGGAAGTTCTGTGGAGAAAGACCTGGGAGTTCTGGTGGACAAAAAGCCGGACATGAGCCAGCAGTGTGCTCCTGCAGTCCAAAAAACCAACAGTATCCTGGGCTCCATCAACAGAGGGTTGGCAAGCAGGGACAGGGAGAGGATTGTCCCTTTCTGCTCTGCCCTCATAAGTCCCCATCTGGAGCATGAGTCCAGCACAAGAATGACACTGTGCTGTTGGAGTGGGTCCGGGGGGGGGCAATGAGGATGATCAGAGGGCTGGAGCACCTCTCCTGTGAAGACAGGCTGAGGGATTTGGGCTTGTTCAGCCTGGAGAAGGCTCTGGGGAACCCTCATTGTAGCGTTTCAGCACATAGAGGGAGCTTATAAATGGGAGGGAGTCCAACTTTGTACATAGGCAAATAGTGATAGGAGAAGGAGGAATGGTTTTAAAGTAAAAGAGGAGAGACTTGGAAGTTAGGAGGAAAATTCTTTACTCAGAGCACAATCAGGCTGCCCTGAGAGGCTGTGGGTGCCCCATCCCTTCAGGCACTCGAGGCCAGGCTGGATGGGGCCCTGGGCCGCCTGAGATGGTGGTTTGTAGCCCTGCCCATGGCAGGAGTTGGGCTGGGTGGGCTGTAAGGTCACTTCAAATCCAAACCACTCCATGCATCTAAGATTCTACAAAACTGGAGAAGATGTAGCTTATGTCAAGCACTGATGCCTCAGTGCCAATGTACATTTCACCTTTTGTTTCTCTGTCATCTGTTTGGGATCCATTCTTTCTGCACTTCATAGTGGAGTACAAGAATGACCCCCATTTCAAGTGATAAATAAACAGCAGTGGCTTAGAAGTTGCATATTTGATCATTCCCAGCCTAGTGCTTGAGTGAAACTGCTCAATACGTTGCACAAGTTGTGTATTTCCAGCCAAAACAGACTCTATTGTGAAGCAGATAAGAACTTGCATGTGACTTGATTTTTGGAGATGTTTTTGGAAGCTGTACCCATTACTGCACCTCAGGAAACTGTTTTCTTAGCGCTTGCCTTGATTTGATCATAAAACATGTACTGTGAAGTCAGGGAGGAACGTACCCATGTGGAGGACATTGCTCACATCTGACAGAGGCTCTTGGAAATGTAACTCCCTCTCTCTCTTTCTTCTCCCACACTGGTGGTGAACAGCTAAGGGAGCCAGTGGGGCAAACCTAATAAATAGGAGGTTCAGGAAAGCATATCCTTAATAGTGAAGTAATTGGAAAGATTTGAAATTTGCCAGTGAGCAGAACAAATCCTCATTCTGCCTTGATTACTGAATGTATCACAGGTGGCTCCTTCACTGCCTTTACCAGCAACAAAAAAAAACAGACCAGAACTGACCAGTCCCAATGCCATGCCAGCTCCTCTGAGCTGCTACAGTGACTTGGATGGGGAAACTGTTTCCACAAAGACACTGTGATCACATCTCACCCAACCAGTGCTAAGTGATGCTGAAAGGTGTGGGAATCAAGTCATCAGCCCCAGCTTGCCACTGGAAAATGCTCTGAAGTGACAGAGTGAAAACGGGACAGTCTGCTGGAGCTATCAGTGAGTCGAGGTATCAGTAGTGATAACATTCATGGCTCATGACATTTCTGAGTGCTGTAAAGTACAGCTTACAACAGAAATTCTGGCTGATAATAACGAATGAATGGGGATCTGTGTGAAAGCAGCAGAAGAAACAGCAGAGCAAAGGTTAGAACAATGGCATATACTGCTAAACAAACAGCAGTGAAGCTGGGAGATGTGTCCTTCACCCACACACCTTGAAGCCAGCACTCTGCTGAGCCCAGAGCAGATGGACTGCCATGGGAAACCTCTGCAAGTACCTTCTGATTTCAGCCAGACCACTTGTGCAGTGTACTCTGATGCGCCTTTCCTCTCGTGCAGGATCGTGCACTGAGCTTGTTGTACTAATTTAGAATCATTGAGAAACACAGAATGACCTGGGTTGAAAAGGACCACAATGAACATCTAGTTGCAACCCCCCTGCTACGTGCAGGCCCGCCAGCCACTAGAGCAGGCTGCCCAGAGCCACATCCAGCCTGGCCTTGAATGCCTCCAGGGATGGGGGCTTTAATTTAATTTAATTTAATTTTAGTTTGATTTTAGAAAGTTTAGTTCTTAGAAACAAATTTCTGCTCAGTACATTGCAGCAAACAGTGTGGGATGTGGGAAAAGCAAACAGCAGCACTTTCTTGGCACAGACCTTTCAAAACCTAGGCAGTGCTAGTGGAGAGGTGCTAAGTGCAGTTCTCACAGCTGCCCTTTGAGCCCCATCCTGCAGTAACACAGTTAATGGAGCTAAGTGCAGAACAGGTATCTCAAGCACTCATATAGGACTAAAGCAATGCTTACAATTCATTTTGCAAATTTCTCATTAATAATTAACCTCATATTTTGACCTAAAAAATTAATAAATTAAAAAAAAAAAAAAGTCATTTATTTGCATTGGTTGAAAATACACCCCCAAATCATTACATTCAGTCTGTACTATGAGAAAACCCAAACTCCTGTGGCAGTGATGGGACCTGCGCTTAAATGATCTCTTTAAGAACAGACGTGCAGTTGGACCTTCTCAAAAACTACAGTCTGTGGACATTCACTTCAGAACCCGATCCTGCAGGCTGCCTGTAAGGCAGAAGACCCCGTTCTACAGAAGGGGCTGCCCTGCAGACGAGGAGCTGCACGTTCAGCCTCACTCTCTGTGCTCCCACCTTTTGCAGTCTGGCCGTTTTGCCGCACCACAGAACGTTGTGATAACGAGCACTGGGCTCCTCAATGCCCGGACCTGGAGGAAGCCCACAGCCCAAGCGGCTCAGGTTGGAAGAAACCTTAAGATCACGCAGTTCCAACGCTCTGCTGGTGCAGCGCTGCCGGCAGTGAGAACAGGCTGCCAGGGAAGGCAATGCAGAGGGCCGTGCTGTGAGCACCAGGAAACGTCTCCGTTTTGAGGGTGAGCGCGGGCGCTGGGAGCCGCGAGGCAATCGCCTGCGCGACGGCGGACTGGGGCTGCGCTGGGTGACGCTGCTCCAAGTATCATCGCGTATTTTGGACCGGTTTCGGAGCAGCCTCTTCTGCCCGTACCGCAAACGCTGGTTCCCCGAGCGGGGCTCGGACAGCAGAGGAGCGGCAGCCGCAGCTCGTGCCGGTTTGCCCTTCACAAGAGGAAGCGTTTCAGCGCCCGCGATCAACCGCAAGGAGCGCTCGTCCGCTGCTTTTCGCGGAGCAACAAACATCGCGGCTCCGCCGGTACAGCCGAGGCCCCGCCAGGGAAGGGCGCCTGCCAAGACGCGACGTTTGCGGCTCCGGTGCGGCCGCAAAGCTCCGTGGAGAGGACGACGGCCTTACCTGGCCAGCGTGCTCTTCCCGGAGCCCGGCAGGCCCCGCAGCAGCACCAGCGTTTTGCCGAAGCGCCGCGGGGAGCGGCGGGGCGGGGGCTGCAGGCTGAGCCCCCCCAGAGCGCGGAGCAGCTGCTCCTCCATACGGCTCGGCGCGGCTCGGCACGGGGCCCGGCCCCGAAGGAGGAGGCGGGCGCTGGTGGGGTCCGGCCCGGCCCCTCCCGGTCACAGCACCGTGCATCGCCGCAGGCTTGGGCGGGGCGGACGGAAAGTTGCGGGAGCGACAGGGAGCTGAGGGTGGCGGCTGACAGCCAGAGCGCGAGCCGGCCGTGTGCCCAGGCGGCCAAGTCGGCCCATGGCAGCCTGGCTTGTATGAGCAGCAGCGCAGCCAGCAGCACCAGGGAGCTGATCCGCCCTCTGTACTCAGCTCTGGGAGGCCGCACCTCGAGCGCTGTGTTCAGTTCTGGGCCCCACACTGCAAGAATGACATCGAGGCCCTGGAGCGTGTGCAGAGAAGGGCAACAAAGCTGTGAGGGGTCTGGAGCACAAGTCTGATGGGGAGCTGGGATTGTTCAGCATGGAGAAGAGGAGCCGCAGGGGAGAAAACAACACAGGCTGCGCACCTTGGGATGAAAGAACGGGTAGCAGACATTGGCGAAGCTTGACGTGAAGAGACTGGAAATTAATGCTAACGAACAGGACAAGCAGTGAGGGCTGGAAGGAAGAGGATGAGACCACTGGTACACTGTTCATGCAATGCGGCAACATTTGGGGCCCTCATACAAATGAGTTAAATACAAAAATTCAAGCCTCGTTGCGCTCATTAAGATGTACATGTAACATTGCAACCGGCTTCAGAAAGCGACCTTTTAACACACATAAAATACATACATACATATACATCTCAATTGCAACTTTTATTATGTGCATAAAGCAGCTGATACTGAGGGAGGAAAAAAAAGATAACTGCAGATTCACACCAGAAATCGATACTGGTTACTTTCTTCCAGGTTGCTCCTTACATTTAAAATCCTTGGTTGCAAACTGAAGTCCTCTCATGGTGGAATCAAAGTGAAGTTTCTGTAACAAAAGAAAGAAAAGATTTTGTTGGAATACCACAATAGTGCAGACTTCAATTGCAGCAAATCTGACCTTTGGACTAAAGAATTCACCTATCTGAGATTTACAAAGCCTGTTTCTCTCTCATGCTCAGCTGTTGGCACTTTTTGTAATAACTGAAAAGGAACAGAGAGAAAAGCAGAAAAGAGAAAATGCAGGGGAAAAAAAAATAAAAAAATAAAAGAAAAATGGAAAAAAGAAGAAAATCTGGATGTCAAAATTAGAGCTAACAAGGTCTTAGCAATCACAAGGCTGAAAAAAAAAATAAGGAGATGAGTAACACAGTGGACATTTAATTTTTTTTAAATTTTTATTTCCTATTTAATCCCCCCTCACCCTCCCTGCTCATATCTTTTATTTCCTCTTATTCCCCACTGGTAATTATGCTCTCTCCTTAAATAAGTTTTAGGCCATGTTTTCTTGGGAAGCTCTAGAAAGGGTAGGTGAGGTTTTCAGGTCATAATTCTGGGTGCTGTTTCATGCTACATATCAAAGGATAGAGATTTTTAATATCCTGTAGCAAAATAACAACTGGAAGAGTTTGACCCTGAAAGGGTATAGCATCTTCTGTTCCATTAATGGAGAACTGGTTTAATTTGCTTTGTATTTTTCAGATCATTTCTCATTCCAGCCTAAAGAGCGAGGAATCAGCGAAGCACCAGATTTGCAGCCTTGTTTGTTCCAGTTCTCAGATCTTCTTGAAGCTCTTCATTTATCGTGACAACACATGAAGTACCAGGTACTCACTTAACAATATGCTTTAACTGGTTTTCTCAGGTATTTAACTGGTATTCTCTTTAGTATCTGTTTAAGTTAAAAACACAAGAAACACTGAAAAAGGAATTTGTGAGTAGGAACTGGAGATGAAATCATCTTTTTTGCCAGCTCTTGAGTAATGTTTAATTTAAGGAAGTGAGAATTAAAACCAAGTTGTAATAGTAGTCAAATTTTTATGATTCCTACTTTTTCACAGTAAGAGGAGCAGTGTCACAAATCCATTCTCAATGTTCAGGCATAAATATACTTTTTTCCTTTTATCAACATTTGGGAAACTTGCTCAGACTTCTCTTTCCTGCTCAGTTCCAAGGACATCCTTGCTTTTGCCACCATCACACCTGTGACTCATTAATCTCCTGCATCAAATACAAGATGTTTTAATATCAATGCCCTTGGAGATAAGATTTCACCCCTCCTGTCACTTCTCATTCATCATCACTGATTTGACCTGGCTGCCAGTCATCTCACACTCACTCTCAGGTGATTCTTTGCTGCCTCATCTCTTGGGCAGAGCCAGAGAAGTCGGAGCATCGGCTCAAGCGCAGAGTTCTGCACACCAAAGCAAGTCTGCACTGTATGCAAAGCAATGCATGGATGACAATTCATCCCAGCCTGATGAGAGTTCAGGCAGATCCCTTTGGCATGTGTGTTGAGGTGAGCTCACCCAGCTTCAGTCTAGCTGCAGAAGCACTGCATCCAGCAAGGGGAGATGCCAGCAATAGCACGGCCAGGAAAGGAGGACTGATAACATGTCATCAGGAGATTTGTCTCACCCAAACAACAACCCCGTGGGGCTGTCCTAGAAGATATGTTCCTGTAGGGAGTTAATGCTATGCCTCAAGCAAAAACATGCCTTTATTTTGTAATAATAATGCAGATAAATGCTTAAACTGCTATAAGCTTTTGTCAGTTTGCTCTGCAATTCTATCGGCATCTGGCAATGGGAGTTTCCGGTCTAAGAGCTTTTAGGCACTAAAATACCACCCTGTTTTCACTGATCTCAGCATTATTATTATTATTATTATTATTATTAATCAGGATCTCTTGCCTAATCTCCACAACAAATACTGATGTGCTGCCCATGCTGCTCTAGGAGCTCTCAGAACTACTTTAGAGTAACTCTATGTTTTCTCAGTGAAACACAAACATTGTCCACTCTCATTTCAACAAAAACAGCCTCATGGAACAATACAGAGTCATGGTCATCTGACTAAAAATTAAATAGCATTTAGCCAATAATTACTGGGACCATAGAATCACTAAGGTTGGAAAAGACTTCTAAGAGCACCAAGTCTACCCGCCAGCCCAGCCCACTGAGCCCGTCCCTCAGTGCCACGTCCACACGGCTCCTGAACGCCTCCCTGGGGAGCTGCGCCACTGCCTCACCACTCCTGAGAAGAAATTCTTCCCAATATCCAACCTGAACAGCATCTGGCACAACTTGAGGCCACTCCCTCTTGTTCTACCACTCTTACCTGGGAGAAGAGGCTGACCTCCATCTCACCACAACCTCCTTTCAGGCAACTGTAGTGAATGATAAACCGAACACAGCACTCGAGATGTGGTCCCACCAAGTCTGAGTGCAGAGGAATCACCCCCGCCCTGGTGTCACTGGCTTCACTGTTGCTGATACAAGCCAGGATGTCGTTGGGCTTGTTGGCTACCTGGGCACTCTCAAATGTTTACTCTCAACTGCTCAACAAATCAGGAATATAGCACAGAGGTGACATGAATCACACCAGCTCACCTCAGTAATTAAGCTGGCAACAACGTGCAGCTGCTAAGCATCCTACACCATTGCTGTCACTTCACCAGGCAGAATTTAGATTCTGAGAGGGAAAAAAAGAGGGGACTTTAACAGAAAAGTGCTGCCCACTCTTTCCCACTTAGGCTTAAAAACCAAATAAGACCAAAAAAGCCAACAATCCTCCACCTCACAAAAAGACAAAAGAGAAAACAAAATATCAAAACAAACAAAAGAAATCCAATCTCAATCCTTATCTGAAGGAAACAAGAAGAAGTAAATTGGGTGATGCTTAATGCATCTCAGCAATCATAACAACCCATGTTCTTCAGATATTTGGACAAATCTAAAACCAGAAATAAAACACATTTACAGGTGTGACTGATTACCTTTTCCTTCATGCAGTTTTTTTGTTTTAATTAAGGTGTTCTCCCACTACTGATGAAGGACAGCACCCAGACAGCCACTGCTGGCAGAGGTCGTGGCGTTCTCTTCCATCACCCCAGGAGACATTTCTGACAGCTTTTCAGAAGAGTCTTCATTCTCGTGGTGACTTTCATTTAGATCTTCAAGGGTAATAACATCAGCTAAAAAAAATAAACAAATTATAAACTGCAGCTAAAAAGACTTGAAGTTATCTTACATAATTTGTATCATGAATAGTATATTCATGGTAATTTGTATCAGAATAGACTGTTTCTAGAACAAGCTTTTATCTCATCAGAATGCTCAGGATTCTGCTTCCTAAATGGCCTCACAAATAAGCTAATTATTTTGAGTTTAAATAATATAGATACACATCTGTCAGAGATAACATATATATATATATACACATCAGTTTTACATGTACACATATATATAAATCCTGCTTTTCTACTTCCTTTCAGCTCTCTAAGGACCTTCCTTTTCTGTCTCTTTCTGCTGCCCCATAAACTCTCCTATTTCAGGCAACAAACTCTAACAGCTTCCAGCAACCAACTATTGTATTTTAATCTTGTTGCACAATTTATTCTAAATTACACTAAACTAATACAGAAATAATGGAACCAAACAATCAATAACCAGATTCTGTAGCTGCACGCTGCAGGAATTAATGTGTGCAGAATTAATGTGTATAGAAGTCCTGAGCACCTTGTGGGACCTCGATGCCTCCTGCTGCTTGAGGGCCCAACCTGTTGTCAGGCTGACCGTTAAGCTGAAGGCGCTCAGCTTTTCAGAGGAACAAAACCTAAAGAAAAGCTTTTTCATCTTACATTTCTTTCTGATCTGGAATCAGATGAACTTGAATTTAGTATTTGATTAGTTGTATACAGGAAACTAAAACGCAAAGAGTCTCAGTATGTCAATCGGGAGAAGTGGCAGCAGCTCTGCCATACTACCTACCCAACCACTGGAGGCACACATCTGCCAGGAGGGTTGGAACAAGATGATCCTAAAGGTCCCTTCCAACCCAAACCACTCTACAATATCTTACTACTTTTGCACAGAGAAGTGTTACCACTCTTTTGTGCTGAAAATCTTTGGCATATTTCACTTCAGTATTAACCGTGTTCCCCACAAATATTTTATACCAGCTCTGTATCACAAAATACACTCACCAGCCAAGGCACTTCCACTCTGCAACCCATTTGCTTTCTGCTTCTCCTGAAATACATAACAGCAGTCCAGAGAAAAAGAGAGTATGTGACAAGAGATTTTGCTATTCTGGGAGAGAACAAAATCTGTGTTCTATTTTAGATTACTATGTCATTGTACCTGCAGGATTTTCCTCATTTCCACTGTTCCTCAAGTAAAATCAAACCTTTACAAAGCAGCAGTGGGAAGTAGCACAAGAGTAATTTGTAAGTCACGATTTCTAATTAGACAAGGAAAGTTAAGCTGCCATCAGTCACTCTGTGACCTCTTTGGTCACGGCAGGAGTAGCCACGAAGTTGCTGCTGTTTGCAGAGGGTGGCACTTGCTCAGATGATGGGAGAGAACCATGAGGAGGAAGACATTGGATCCAGTGCGTTGTATTTAGTGATCACGGGCCAGATCAGAAAGATCAAGGAAACTTTATAAGTTTTGTTAATCCCCCACAGCTACTTTGTACGTACTTCTGAAGCTGAACTTCCAAAATCTGGATCCTCCCATGGCATGAACTGGTTTTGGAAATACCCAGAAGTGTACATAGAGCACCCATCTCCTCATTGTGGATATTAAAAAAGGAGAGTTTACTAGCAAAGAGTAGAACCTTGCTTCATGAACTGAGTGATTTCTCTTTACACCTGGAATATTGCAAAGCCTTCCGAAATCCCCTATAAATTCGTACCTCCACAGAGGTCTTCCACAGTAAATAGATCATCTTTGAAACTTTCCAGTCAAGAGGAACTATATAATCATCTGGCAACAAGGATTCTGCAGGAGAAAATATTTTTGCAGTTGAGTGTTTGCATCTCTTCACGGCTAAAGAATATCACTGCATTGTCATTTTTGCTAATGCCTGCATGAGCCAGCAGCAAAGCCAAAACTGACATTTACCAAAGACCAGGGGAGGGGAGGGAAAAAAGATTTGGTTTTGTTTTCTTTTTTTTTATGCGAAGACTTTCGTTTCCCCCACACTCGCTGAACCACAGCACAAACAAAAACAGAAAGCTCTCAGCCCATAAATGCAACAAAACGCAGTTCTGTAACAGACTCCATGTTTTAAAATGCTTATTCCTAGGAAGCACTGCAATATTATCCAATAAATTACTTTCTAGTATGTTTTAACTGCAAAAACTCTTCACTTCTCAAGGAGCTGAAAAGAGATTCTTCATAGAAAAGCAGTCTAAAATATATTTTATGCTTATAAGAGAAACAGCCAACCAAGTAAATCAATTTAATCTTTCATTTATAGATATCCAAGGGCAATTACCACAATTTTTCCCTCCAAAATTATTAAACAAAAATTGTCTGCAATTATCACTCACAGATTCTATTGCCTGATGGAGTGGTTGGCAACCCTGCCTGCAGCATTCTGTAGTTCTACTTGTATGCCAATGAACAACCTATCACTACACAGCTGACCACAAAAAAAGCACAAGAACTTCTGGAGTTGTGAGAAAAACACGTTTGAATCAGAACATGGTCAGCATTCTGTGGAGCATTCACACTTTTGAGGAGAAAACAAACCCACAGCAATCACAAGCTGGGGAGAGCTCAGAGATATCAGGGGGGCTTTATATTCCTTAAAGGTTGTTTCCAAAGGAAACTCAGCTAGAATATTATACCATAGAATATCATATAATGGAATCATAGAATGGTCTGGGATGAAAAGGATCATCCAGTTTCAACCCCCTGCTATGTGCAGGGTCACCAACCACCAGACCAGGCTGCCCAGAGCCACATCCAGCCTGGCCTTGAATGCCTCCAGGGATGGGGCATCCACAGCCTCCTTGGGCAACCTGTTCCAGTGCGTCACCACCCTCTGGGTGAAAAACGTCCTCTAATATCTAACCTGAACCTCCCCTGTCTCAGTTTAAAATCATTCTCTCTTGTCCTGTCACTATTCACCCTTGTAAACAGTGGTTCCCCTTCCTGTTTATACGCTCCCTTCGCGTATTGAAGAGCCACAACAAGGTCTTCCTGGAGCCTTCTCTTCTCCAAGCTAAACAATCTAAACACCCAGAAACTCACTCACAGAAGAATGACATTTGCTGCACCCAACAGCTGAGTGCTTCGGGATGCCTGTTCTGTTTGCCATCCCCCTGGCCGATCACTTCTTTCAAGTCATGGCCAACTCCAGTCCCTCCTGGATGCTGGCAATCAAGACCACAGACATTAGTGCTTGCCAAGCTTAGATACTGTAGTAGTTGAGACAACCCCAATTGCTCCTGGCTGTGCTTAACCCTGCACATGATGTGGTGCCAAACTGAGGTCAGGCAGCACCGCAGGTTCTTTGAGCACACATCGAGGCCAGCAGTGCTGCCAGGGGGTTGCCATCACTGTTCTGGCAGGTAACACTGCCATCAGCTTGTATGATAAAACAAAGAATCAGCATGCCTGTTTTGCCACAGAGACAGAACATAAGCTGCTTTTCTGCTTTTTTGGTTAAATTCAATTCCACTGAAGCAGACAGGTGTACAGGCTCAACAACTCATCTGTGTTTTAAAATCTATTTGTTTGCCAAATCAAACTTACAGCTTTTTTCACAGGCTAAGTTTAGGCCAAGGAAGTTGCAGACCCTTACACACAGCGGCCGTGGGTGGCTCTTCCCATCACAGTGTGTTGCAGTGATTCCCAAACATGCCCATTGTTGCTGACTGCAGCTCTGTGCAGCCAGCTGGCAGTGATCTGGAAAGCACAGTTGCCACAAACTGCTCCTCCGAGCACTGATGGTGCTTCTGAGTAAGTTAATGTGCTGAACTGAAAGTACAAGCATAGGACAACTAGAGCTCCGGAAGGCAAACACGGCACTATGACACTCGGTCATGTGTGATTAAAAAGAAAGCACCGAATATCTGAAAATGCATCCTGTAAGTGGAACTTAAATGAGATTCTGGAAAAGGTTTTCAATTGTATCCAATCCACATTAGGATTTATGAATAAACCCCACATTAGGGCTTATTCCTTTTTCTTTGCTTATGAGAATATGCTACCATCATCCAGATAAAATAAAAATAAAAATCAAACATGCAGGTTTTATATAAGAGCACCCATTTTTCCATTTAATTTCATAATCAACAAATTAAAGCCTTTCTGAGAATGATGTATTCACATCAAGAGCTTTGGATTTGAAGTTGCTAAGTCAGCCTCACTCCAGAGAATGTAAGGGTGAGGCCAAACCCAATGGCCTTGGAGATGAAGCTGCTTTAAAAAAAGAAAAAGAAAGAAAGAAATTCACCAAAGCAGCAGCGACTCCTTTCAGTAGGGTTGCTATTTCATTCACTGTTACCTGCAGTCAAAATGAACATTTAATCACACACACGCGTATTTACACAGCAGCAGTAAGAAGAGCATTACCCAGCGGAAGACCTGGAGAACCAAAGAGCTGCACAAGTTGAAAAGCAAATCCTATGGATAAGGGAAGTCCCAGGAAGCTGGTTTTCATATTCACATCTTGTTTAAATGCGGGTGGAGAGGCCGCTGATGGCTCAGGGCCATCTGCTTTGTGCACATTTGCAACACACCTTTCCAAGATGCTCGGATCTTCTGCATATTCAGAAACAGCTTGAACAGAAGACAAAATATCTGGTTGGCTGCTTAAGACATCTGAGGAGATTTCACCTTCATCTTTGTTACCAACTGCCTGATGCTGCCTTGGATTTTGAGCTCGCTCCTCCTTTGTTCTGGAAATCACACAAACACTACAAGAATACTTTGGTGTTGGAGAAGACCTTCCCAAATGAAAATATGAAATAGCTCGTAAAGGGGAATCCACGTGAGGGGTGGGCAAGGAATGGGGGGCCTCAGGGCCACTGTACGGTGCAGCATACTCCTGAAACACCACGTTCTGTTCACGTCCCAGTCCACGGTCCTGCTGCAGAAAGCCCTTTTGCTCCACTTC